CGAATCCTCTGCTAGTCGCAGTGTTGTTATTGATTAAATACCTCTCGTCTGTGGTTACAATAATATATATATATATATATATATATATATATATATATATATATATATATATATGTATATATATATATATATATATATATATATATATATATAATATATATATATATATAAATTATATATATATATAAATATATATATATATATATATATATATATATATATATATATATATATTATATATATATATATTATATATATATATATAGTATATATATTTTTTTTTTTTATTATCACACTGGCCGATTCCCACCAAGGCAGGGTGGCCCGAAAAAGAAAAACTTTCACCATCATTCACTCCATCACTGTCTTGCCAGAAGGGTGCTTTACACTACAGTTTTTAAACTGTAACATTAACACCCCTCCTTCAGAGTGCAGGCACTGTACTTCCCATCTCCAGGACTCAAGTCCGGCCTGCCGGTTTCCCTGAACCCCTTCATAAATGTTACTTTGCTCACACTCCAACAGCACGTCAAGTATTAAAAACGATTTGTCTCCATTCACTCCTATCAAACACGCTCACGCATGCCTGCTGGAAGTCCAAGCCCCTCGCACACAAAACCTCCTTTACCCCCTCCCTCCAACCTTTCCTAGGCCGACCCCTACCCCGCCTTCCTTCCACTACAGACTGATACACTCTTGAAGTTATTCTGTTTCGCTCCATTCTCTCCACATGTCCGAACCACCTCAACAACCCTTCCTCAGCCCTCTGGACAACAGTTTTGGTAATCCCGCACCTCCTCCTAACTTCCAAACTACGAATTCTCTGCATTATATTCACACCACACATTGCTCTCAGACATCACATCTCCACTGCCTCCAGCCTTCTCCTAAAATATATATATATATATATATATATATATATATATATATATATATATATATATATATATATATATATATATATATATATATATATATATATATATATATATAAATATATATATATATATTAGCAGTGGAAGCATCGTTCTTGTTTATTTATTACTAGTACTATCACTATTACTACTACTACTACTACTACTACTACTACTACTACTACTACTACTACTACTACTACTACTGTTACTACAAGAACCTTCCCTCTCTCCGCCCCGCCCAGCTGAGTGAAGGTAGACGGACAACGGTCCCCAGGAGACGCAATACACAAACCCATTTATACATGACACAACTAACAATGAGTCAACATATACCTTCTGAGCCCCGGGATATGAACCGATAAATATTAACGAGCTACAGACACAGTGATGGACAGTGCTGAAGCTGAAACACCATGATAAATGATAGAGGAAAGACACTAAAGAAGGGAACGATAGATGACAAATGAAAGCAGCTTATGATAAAATGATAGCGGGATAATACCACTTAAGTGAAGGTCGTCGGTTCGCTGGTTCTTTCCACAACGACATGCCAGAGTTGCTTTAGTCTTGCGCACTAACAATATTTGGTAACAATGTGTGTGTGTGTGTGTGTGTGTGTGTGTGTGTGTCTGTGGCCCCAGTACAACTATTACGTGCCTTGTCTGTATAATAAGCGACTACTAGAGTACCCTTTTATTTACATGGTAAATACACACGCTACGATCACATCATACTGAGTAGTGATGTTATCACCCCTCACAGCCACCAAACAACATGACTGCAGACGCTATGACCACATCATACTAGTTATAAGGACTCAGAACCACCTGGCATTTCACACCAACACTTCAGCCTGTGACATCCACAGTATCATACGGAAATCCATTCATCGACCCCGAACATAAATACACAAATGCAACAGTCTGCTCATTTACATCGATTTCCTGGCGCTGTGGTATGTGGTCCCGGGTAGTGCTTCTCCCACACAAAGCAACAACAACATAATGCGTGGCAGATCAAAGGGCCAGCGAGTGCCTTGTAAGAGTGCCACACCTGCCTCAACTATACCTCATAAAAGATCGTCGGCTAGAACACTACCTCCAGGCACTCCTTCAACGATATGAAGATAGAGACAATCGTTGAACAGCATTCGTCTTGTTGAGAATAAAAAGGCACAAAACTGTGACTGGAACAATACACAAATAACCTGCGCAATGGACAGTGACGTAGGAGACAAACTCATAAGTTTGTCTCCTATGTGCGGGTTATTTGTGTATTAGTCTTGTTGTGTTTTATAAGGGCACTGACAGCTTATGAGGTATCGAGCCCCAGGAGTTAGTCTTCTTGTTAGTGGTTTATAGGGCCACTGACAGCTTACGCCGCATCGAGCCCTTTACATAAAAGTTCTTGGTTGGAACAAAGGTAGGGGTGTGCAAGGGTACAGTTTAATGGAGGTGGGGGTTAATGGAGGTGGGGCTAATGGAGGGTGGCTTAGTGTAAGAGTAACATTGAAATCATAGTTTCCATTACAAAGTCAAAGGAAGTCTGTGTCACATGAGGGACTTTGAGTGAGGAGGTCAGCA